TACCGTTCAATAAAAAAAAAAAGAAAAAAAAAAAAGAATGGCTACTATCAAAAAGACATACAGAGCATTCACGTCCTGTTTGGAAGAAGTGCAGAAATTGTTTATTAGGCTTGACTCCCTTATCTAGCATGTCTCTATCACAGATCTGCGTTGCTGTTATTTTCTTGGCTGTGACAATCTGTCTGGTGATAATTATAACAGCAGTTCACTACTCTACAAGTGAGTACATATATAAATTTTGTGGAAGGTTTGCCAACACCATCAAAAAGTTCTGTGGTACTACTGGCCTTATAATCGCTATCATAATCGTATCAATATCCTCATTTCTCATCCAAAGCAAGCACATAACATCTCCATAGGACTCACTGTCACAAGAATGCATTTACCACATTTTTAAATAATATTTTTATCTATTGAGAAAAGCACTGAAGGATGGACTATCCATCAGTCACTTTTCTGCTTGGTGGTCTTATTGATTGTGTAACCCAGTTACTAGCAATTACTGAAGAGCTTTTACAACTGATCATGGAACAATAGATTCCTGCTGAAGAACAAAATGATAAAGAGGAAAATATGGCAACAGAGCCATCTCCATCTCCTGAGGAATCTTCACTCCTGGATCTTACTAATTTCTCAGACTTAGAATCAATACTCAAATCAAGAGAAGATGAAGACCTGCTCTTTGATATAGATGAAATTATGTTAGGGCTAGGTGAGGTTTATGATGATGCCACTGGCTGCAGTAAATGATCAGTTAAGAAGTGACTAAGAATCAGTTTGCCCCCACCAGCATGTAAGACCCAATTGTTTCCTCTGTTTCAGTATGTTTTGATTCACTGGCAATATGTGTTTTCTTCTGGTTGTGCACATTTTTATTATTAATACTTTTTTTTAAAAAAGACATACAATCACAAAAGCTGATATGGATGTGGAGAAATGGGTTCCTTTATACACTGTTGGTGTAAATGTATATTATGGAAAACAGTAGAGAGGTCCTCAAAAAAGTTAAAAGTCAAACCACCACCATATCATCCAACCACGTATATAGCCAAAGTAAGTCAAATTAGTATGTCAACGAGGTCTCTGCACTCCCATATTTACTGCAGCACTAGTTACAACAGACAAGCTATGGGATAAACCTAAGTGTCCATCAATGGAAGAAGGATCAGGAAAATGTTGTGTAGGTACAGAATGGCATACTCTTTAGCCATAAAAAGAATGATATCCTGTTCTTTGCAACAACATGGATGAACCCTGTTAAGTGCAATAACCAGACATAGAAAGCCAAATGCCCAATGGTCATACTCATTTCAGAAATCTAAAGGAGTTGACCTTATGGAAGTACAGAGTAGGATAGTAGTTACTAAAGGCTGGGAGGGGTTGGGGGAAGTGAGATGGGGAGAGATTGGTTCATGGGTACATAATGACAGTTTGATAGGAGGAATAAGTTTTGATGTTCTCATAACACAGTGAGTGTAGTCAACAATACTATATGTATTTTTCTTTCTTTCTTTTTTTTTTATTGAATGGTAACTATGTACATTAATGCACTTCTGGGGTACAGTGTGGAGTTTTCACATGCAATCCCAAATACTTCCATCAAACTGGTCAACAGAGCCTTCATGTCATTTTCTCAGTTATTGTTTTAAAACGTTCACATTCTACTATATGTATTTTTCTTCTGAGACAGAGTCTTGCTCTGTAGCCCTGGGAGAGCATAGTGCCATCTTGTATGTATATTTCACGATAACTAGAGGAGGGGATTTGTAATGTTCTCACCTCTGGAAAATGATAAGTGTTAGAGGTGATGGATATGCCTAGAGGTGATGGATAGGCACAAAGAATACATGTACCAAAACATTACATAATTGCATTATGCGTCAATGAAAATAAAAAATTATACAAATATGGAAGATTTGTTAAAAGTAAAAGTAATTCCAGAAAGAAGAGGCCAGAGAATTGAAGCAAGTCATCTAAATGGAGATTGAAATAACTCAGGATGAAGGATTCAAAAATGACTTTGAGATGAATGTGAAAGTTTTCATATAAAAGGACAACCTCCAGGGGATCTGAAGTTGACCGTGCCAGGGAAACAGTGTAGGTAACACAAGCTTCTAAGAAACAAGAGATTTTCACTGGAAACAGGAGAGTAGTGGTGTGAAAGGAAGCAGAAGGAGAAAGGAGACTCCATGCACCATTCGTACTCACAGTCTAAAGTAGGTTAGAGAGAATGAGTCATCTCATTCAAGATACAAGTCAGGAGGATCACTTGGGGTCAGGAGTTTGAGATCAGCCAGAGAAGGAGTGAGACCTCATCTCTACTAAACAGAAAACTTAGCCAGGAGTTGTAGTGGACAGCTGTAGACTCAGCTACTTGGGAGACTGAAGCAGGAGGAGCACTTGAACCCAGGAGTCTGAGGTTGCTGTGACCTAGGCTGACTCCAAGCCACTCTAGCCTGGTCTACAGAGCAAGACTGTGCCTCAAAATATAAATAAATAAATAAGAAGCAATGTAAGGAATAGTGAAGTTTGGGAATTATATAGCTAGAGCTGCAGAGAGTACAACTCAAAGTTTGCTAACTATAAGAGAAACCAGTTTTGCATCAAGAAAAAGAACTCAGATATTATGGTGATAAGAGTACAGGAGGAAATAGAGAGTCAGAGGGGCTGATGGTTTGGATGCTGATGAAAGAAACCAGCAGTGCTGAGCAGAGAGCTGGCTACATGAGACAAATGAAAGGGGGAAGGTGCTGTGTCCTTAATCATGTCACATGGAATTAGCTTCTCAGGTAGTGAGCAGGAAAGTCCAATGTAGTCATGAGTCACTCAGAAGTGGGCAGTCATCCTGCCAGCTTTGGCCCTATGTTCCGCTTTCAGTTAAGAGTAAGGCATGAAAGCATGGGACCTCAGGGACCAAGAAGAAGTCAGCTAGCAATAGTCAAGTCCTGCTCAGATGTAGCACTGACATCATCCTGTCCAGCAGCATATGGAGGCAGGGATGCTGCTCTATAGCATGTTGGCAATTTGATGCTCCCACCTTTTGCCCCAAGTTCTGCAACACCCTCCATGCACAAGAAAACATTTAAAAAATATTTTTCTTGTAATTCTTGGATGTTTCCATTTCTTGGACGAGATTTCTTGACCAGAACTTTGTAACTTTCTGTTGCTTGATACCTTTTGCATTTCTTTCCCAGGGAGGTGGGAACCTCCTTGTAGCCATGAGATAACTATCCAGGCTTACACCACCTGCTTGTCCAGAAAAAACAATATAAGGGATGTGGCGTATGCCACCAAAAATTATGCCCAAGGACACACTGAGCCTGCATACAAGGCTGAAAAGTGAAAAATATTAACCCCTAGCTCATTATAATACAAAAATCCCCACTCTGGGAGGGACGTATCCACCATTTTTTATTCATGGGACATATATACTATGATTTCTAACAGCAATTCCATGCCCTGCACTCCACCCCAACACATGATCATGTTTACTCCCCTCATGCGTTATTCATTGTCACCTCCATGAACCCTCCCACCCCTGAAATGTAGGTTGGCAAACCAACTTAAGACAGTCCCTGCCTCCTCTTTCCAGCAAACCCATCTCCAGAAATGAAGGTTTTCCTCCTTAACAATCCTTCTTGTCTCAGTAATTGATTTCCTGTGCAGTGAGCAACATGAACCTGTTGAGGGTTGGTTAACATTAGGGTTAATATTGTAAATTCTTTCAGTATTGTGAGCAGGCTCCATGAGCGCACGGAGGTTTCCACCTTCCTCAGAAAGAAACTCAAGGGGGAATGTGTCAGTGCAACAGACAGGAACAGAGTTGTGGTCCACAAATCTTACTGGCCTGGGAAGGTGGAACATAGGAGAACTACAAAAATTATTTAAAACTGTTTGTTTGCTTTTACATATGGAATCAATTATGACTCTTTGAACACTCTTCGCCTACTTTGACTAAAAACTCCATGAGCTCCCAAGATCAGTGACTAATATTATATCCTCTTCTTCTCTTTGTTATTTCCCACAATCACTCTTAACCTTGGAAACAGGGACTGGTTCCCTGGCTGCTGGACCCATCCCCTAGAGGTAAGGGAGGGGCCTGCTTATGTCATAAAGGCCTTTGAGTGATGCAAGGGATGGGAATGATTTAAAGGCCATGTGAATTCTGGGCACACCTCAGTTACTCTCTAGTCTCTAGCGAGTAGCGCTGAACAATGACAAAGAAGCTGCCTCCCATTCCCCAGCCTCGGCCCCAGCCTCAACCTCGCTGCTCTTTTCCTCCATGCTCTCCCCCTACTGTCCTTCCTCATCTTTGTCCTCTGCATCCCCGCACTCCCCATCCCCGTCCTCAGCCTCCCCGCCTTCCACGCCCCCATCCTCAGCCTCAGCCTCCCCGCCCTCGGCCTCCCCGCCCTCAGCATCCTCAGCCTCAGCCTCCCCGCCCTCGGACTCCTCCCTTGAAACCTGCACCTTCTACTATTTCCTCTCCCTCCACTTTCCCCCACATAAATAATGCCCCCCATTCCCAGAATCCTGCCCAGAGGCTCCACAAGGCCAACAACTCTGTCCCATCCCGACTGCCCCTCTCCCGCCGCCCTGTCCGCCTGGCTCCCCTTTCCCTCAACTCCCCCATCCACATTCCCACCCCTCCACAGAGCCCTTCCTCCTAGGGCCCTGCTCACCCTCCAGTCAAGTCCGAAATCTTCTCCTGAGGAGATGGATTCTCCGGGACTGGGACAATTTGGAACAGCCTGGAATCCCAGCACTGTGGATTCCCACCCTGACCTGGTGGGCCCAGGTCAGGCAAGACAAAGGCAACCATCCCTCAGCCTGGGTGAGTTACAGGCCCTCTTGTCCACCACCAGCTCCTATTTGTCTCACTCCTGTCTGTACCCGGCCTCTACCCCTGTGTCAGTCCTCAGATCCCAGGAATGCCTTTATCTGTTTCCATTTATAGGGAATCCGGTCCTATCCTGTCCTGCCTCCTCTGCCAGCCGACATGAGCCCCTGCTGTGTGACTGGCCTCTTCTTGGAACATGGTCTATGACCACAGAGCAAACTTTGGCACCAGTGGTTGAGAAGGTACAGGAAAGTGAGGAGTGGAAAGGATCCCACCTATTCTAAAGGAGGGCAGGGGCTAGGGTGAAGTGAGTCAGGGGAGAGTGGGCCCTGAGCACTCATATAGGGACAGGCCCTGCTACAGATAGATGGGGACTCAGGATGGTTTTTCTTTGCGCTTTTTGGTCTGCTTCCTCCCAGACTTCATTTGTCTTCATCCTATAATTCTACAACCATCCCAGGAACTTTCTGCCCTTGAGAAAAGTCTCCTCTAAAAAGGGGGTGGATTATAGCTTCCCTGGTTCATTCTATAAGGGTACATGTGAATCTCTCTAAGTGTAGAATATAAATGTCTTAATAACTAAGAAAAAGACATGAAGGCTATGTTAACCAGTTGGATGAAAGTATTTCAAATTGTATACAGAAACAGTACACTGTACCCCATGATGGTATTAATGTACACTGCTATGATTTAATAAAAAAAATTAAAAAATAATATTCAGAAAAAAAGAAGAAAGCTATAACCTAATTATGGCCTAAGAATATGGGGAGGGGGGATGAGGAGGGAGGGGAGATGGGTGATTGGAGGGATTACTTCTACGGTTTATCTTACAAGGGTACAAGTGAATCTTTCTAAGAGTAGAATATAAACGTCTTAACACAATAAGAAAACGACATAAAGGCTATGTTAACCAGTTTGATGAAAGTATTTCAAATTGTATATGAAGACACCACACTGTACCCCATGATTGCATTAATGTACACAGCTATCATTTAATAAAAAAATAAAATAAAAAGGGGGTGGAGCCCTCCATTGTTTTGTCATCAAAATTCTGAAGGTTGAGCCTTCAGCTGCTCCTGCCCCAAGATGGGAATAGAAACCGGGTGGAAGGCAGAACATCCCACCTAGATGAGAGCAGCAGATCAGATGATTGATTTGAAAACATGCTGTCCTCAAATTGCTATCTTCATTAAATATAATCTCAGTCAACATTCCAAGAGATATTTGTAGGGAATTGATATCTGATTATAATTAGTAGGGAAATTATCAAAGGAATAGGAATATAAAGATTGTCCTAAGAGGAAATTATTTCTTACTAGATACCAAAACATAATTCAAAAATATCTAATACAGGTCAGAGGCTGCGGCGGTGGCAGGAGGCACTTGAGGTCGCTGTGCTAGCTGCATGGGCTCGCGCCAGCTCCGGGAGGCTGCGGAGACCGGGGTGAGGGGCTGAGCCCGAACAGCCCTACCAAGATCGTCAGCACCATGGGCGCCTCTGCTCTGCTGAGAAGCCCCCACAGCCTGAGGGACGTAAGAAATGGCTATCCCCAGTCAGTTTTCATCTTTGCAATATGCATTTTGATGATAACAGAATTAATTCTGGCCTCAAAAAGCTATTATGATATCTTAGGTGTGCCAGAATCACCATCAGAGCATCAAATCAAGAAGGCCTTTCACAAGTTGGCCATGAACTACCACCCAGACAAAAATAAGAGCCCTGATGCTGAAGCAAAATTCAGAGATTGCAGAAGAATGCAATACACTTGGACACAGTGCTTTTACTAATGCTAAAGGACAAAGAGGTAGCACGGTCCTTTTGAACAGTCATTTAACTTCAATTTTGATGACTTATTTAAAGACTTTGGCATCTTTGGTCAAAACCAAAACACTTGGTCCAAGAAGCAATTTGAAAATCATTTCCAGATACACCAGGATGGTGCCAGTGGACAAAGGCATCATTTCCAGGAGTTTTCTTTTGGAGGTGGACTATTTGATGACATGTTTGAAGATATGGAGAAAATGTCTTCTTTCAGTGGTTTTGACACCACCAATTGGCACACAGTACAGACTGAAAATCGATTCCATGGATCTAGTAAGCACTTCAGGACTGTCACTCAACGAAGAGGGAATATGGTTACTACATACACTGAATGTTCAGGACAGTAGTTCATTTTTTCTCTGTTCTTGCTAACCCCAATTAGTTGACTCCTCCTCAGTATCTTTGATGCAATGATTTTCTGTGAACGATTTTGACAAGTGCAGAATTTCACTTTAAACAACTTGATATAACCGTTTTTAACAGATTCAGCAACATTCAACTTGTAGGCAAAATACTGATTTCTCTACTAGGAAAGGTTCTTTAAAAAAGATATAATTCTGTCTAGTCCTTATTCTTTATCTGCCCCTGAGCTGATTAATGCAGCCAGTTTTGTTACCAAAAAAAGATTGGGCCTGATACATATTTAAAGATTAAACTTTAAAAAGTTATAGTAGATTGGCATCTCCAAGATGGCTGTCGCCAAGGATGGTTGTGGCATGGGAGAAGGGGCTGCAGGGAATGGGCGGGGGATCCACCTGGGAATTCCTGAAGCTGGGTTTGTGGAAGATGTAGATTCTTTTATGAAGCAGCCTGGAAATGAAACTGCAGATACAGTACTAAAGAAGCTGGATGAACAGTACCAGAAATACAAGTTCATGGAACTAAATCTTGCTCAGAAGAAAAGGAGGCTAAAAGGTCAGATTCCTGAAATTAAACAGACTTTGGAAATTCTAAAATACATGCAGAAGAAAAAAGAATCCACCAACTCTCTAGAGACGAGATTCTTACTGGCAGATAAATTGTACTGCAAACCTTTGGTTCCTCCTACTGATAAAGTGTGCCTGTGGTTGGGGGCTAATGTAATGCTTGAGTATGATATTGATGAAGCTGAGGCATTATTGGAAAAGAATTTATCGACTGCCACAAAGAATCTTGATTCTCTTGAGGAAGACCTTGACTTTCTTCAAGATCAATTTACTACTACAGAAGTCAGGCCAGGGTTTATAATTGGGATGTAAAAAGAAGAAACAAAGATGATTCTACCAAGAACAAAGCATTGGTTCAGTTTTCAAGACATGTTATTTTAAATACCGTGTTTATCCCTAACTATTTACATAAGTTTGATGTTTTAACAGCAAGAATGATGATTAAAAGTTAAAAAAAGATAAACACCATTTTATTTATTTATAGAAACAAAACAAATTTCAAATATTTTATGGAATTAGGAGTATTTTTCCCCACATTTCCCACCAAAGTTGATGCTGCTTTTTATCATTATTTTTGTTTGTCATAAGAAAATACTTAGCTGAAATGGCCAAAAACTGTGAGGTATACTGTAGAAGTGTATGCTGGACACTAGTGCAGTTTATGTTTTCTTTTGCTTTATTGGCTGATATTCTCCTTTGTTATGGTTAAACATTTTAGAGATAGGGAAAACACAGTTTGAATATTTGTAAATTTGTTAGTCTATGGTACATGTGGTACTTAATGGTCCTCTGTTGCAATTGTCTTCTGTAAATGGGGTTTCATGAATTACTGCTTAACCAATAACTATCTATGATGAGATTCAAGAATTCTCAAGAAATGGAAATTTGCCTTCCTACACAGTAAGAGGGCTATTGAGACAATACTTTTTTAAAACCTAAAGTAAGTGCACAGTGTCTTTGCAATGTCAACATAAGGGAGATCTTGGCCAACACGAAGTAACATTACCCATTCAGAACTCTTGGCTAAGATGAATTTGTATTTATTAACAGTTCTCCAAAGCATCTTGATGAGGAATATTAAAATAAATGTAAATCTACCATATTTGAAGAGTTTTGAGCTTTTTTATTCATGATATGGGCATAGTAAAAGAAATCCCTATAGAAAAACATTGGTACAGTAGCTAGTACTGAGTGATACAAATTCTGGTAAAAACACAAACATATTTTTCCATTTCCATGTAATGAAAAGTAAACGTGTACAACAGTGTTTTGTACTTGTACTTCATCAAGTTAAAACAATGTTAAAACTGGAAAAAAGTTATAGTAGATTGAAAATGTGTGAATTTGAATGATGATTTTTGCAGTGAAACCTTTACTAATGTAAAATCGTATGTTCTGTAGCAGCTGTGACTTGGGTTACTAAATGTATATGAAATTGTGTAATTGAGGCATTCAGCAAAGGAGAACAGATCTTTGTTAATAGCCACTGAAAGCTTTAGAAAGGGATGGTTTGATATTTAACACAGAACTGTGCTTTTCTACCATAGAATTAGTGTAAAAAGTGATTTTATAGCTCATGGTTTTTTGGGCTGGAAAAAAGTTGAAAACTTATAAAATGTTGCCAAGAGATTGTTACATGTTTCATCCCTGGCTAAAAATGATTTCGTAGTGTTGAAATCATAGCTACTTACGCATCTTTCACACTTTTCTTAGTTGTCGGCACTCTAGGTTTTTCTAAAGTTTGTGTGTGTGTGTAATTCCTCTTCTTTGTACTCATTTTTATCTAAAGCAGCAGTTCTCAACCTTTGGGTCATGGTTCCCATAGGAACTGTATTAAAGGGCTGTGGCATTAGGAAGATTGAGAACCACTGATCTAGAGATTGACTAATACCTCATTCTGTTTGTAAAAGCAGCCAGTAATTTCCATGCAACTTTATGTGCAATATTTTTAAATCCTAAGAAATGTGTGCTTTTCTTTTCATATAAACTTTTTGTTAGTTCTGTACTTTTCCACATCATACTCCATATGAGTATTAATCTTATGGAAACATATTAAAACTAGCAAATGTCTCATGCAACAATGTTGTGTGAGTGAGAAAGATAAAAATATTTACAACCAGAAAAAAAAAAAAACACTAATAAAATGTAGTGTTTCTGCAGGCATACCGAGATGAAAATTTACTGACCAGGGGTGCCTGTGGCTCAAAGGAGTAGGGTGCCCACCCCATATGCCGAAAGTGGCAGGTTCAAATCCAACCCCAGCCAAAAACTGCAAAAAAAAAAAAAGAAAGAAAGAAAGAAATTTTACAGACCAAGTAGTTTAGAGACAGACTCACATGTCTGGACATTTTCTTTAACACAAAAGTAGCAGAGTAGAACTGTGGGCATTGGACTCTCTTTTCAATAAACTGCTGCTGGGTCAATTGGATACAACTTGGAAAAGAAATTATACAGAATTCCTACCTCACACTACACTCAAAACTCAATTTCAGGTGGAACTTAGGTATAAATCTAAATAGTAATTGGAAGAAATATAGAATTATACCTGTGTATAGCTAATGAGCACTTGAGATGTGCTATGAGTATGAAATTTGCGCCAGGTTTGAAAGAGTGTGAAGAAATAGTATACAATTTCTCAATACTTTTTATATTGAAACTTTGAAATGATAATAATTGGGACATATGGAGTTCAATGAAACATCCATAAAGGTAGTTTTACTGTAACTCACACAGCTGAGAAAGATACTCAGACCCCACTTTTGTGCAATTAATAGAAATTTATTGTACCTGCACAAAGGTTGTTGCCATAGGAAGCAAGCAACCCCAAATGACAGATCAAATAGGTCTTTATACTCTATTATGTGTCACAGCAAGCAATCAAAGGAACAGAGGCTGAAACAATGTGGTTAGTTGGGGGCAGGGGTGTCACATAGTACAAGGGGGGAGGCAGGAGGTATGTCCAGCCGCTCCTTCCTATGTACTTTCTTATCTTCAAGTTTCTCCTGGAAGTTCTTTCCCCTCCCTACACACTTCTTTATCTTCAGTCCTCTTCTCAGAGTTCTCCTCCCCACTCTTAAGGGGGCTGTGACTAATGGATTCAAAGGAAGTTTCTTTTTCAAGGGTAGGGGGCTTTGTTATCACAGTTTCCCCAGAGTCATTGTTCCCTTTTACTGTGCATCTGCTTTACAATAGGAGGGGTCTCTGACTCCTTCCAAATATTTTTGAGGAAATGATTGACCAAAGTGAGGTCCATGATATGATCATGACCTCACTGATCTGCCACTTGCTGACCAGTCTCCTCCTGGTATATCCTAGGACAGTTCTCATAACCAGGCTGGGTCCTGAGAAGCCAAGCAAGTGAACTGAACACCACGAGGGAGCAGGGAAGGAAATGAAGTCCTCAGAGGTGGGATCTGGATCTATGGATCCAGACAGGGGCAAAGGGTGCATCCACCCAGGTGGTCTAGCACAGCAGGATCCTATGGCAGGGATGTTGTTGCCTAGAAATCATGTGGGCCACTCTTCCCTAGACTGCATGGGAAGTGGTAGCCTGGAGACCCAGGAGACCAGCACCGGGCCAGCCACCTGAGGGTACAGAGAGAAGCCAGTCAGGACCTGCAGCACCAAGGACATGGCTGGATGACAAAAGGAGAAGGAAGACCTAGATGAGGTCTACCAGAACCAGATCTTGCAGGAACTGTATGTCAAAGAGCATGCCACCTGGAAACTCTACTTACAATATCACATGAATCCCTTCTGCAAGGGTGAGGGGTGATGGGATGAGAAGGGCAAGTCCTGGAGGTCACCACTAAGGAAGGTTGTGATATGGGGGGGGGGGGATCCCATGAAGGAAGAGCTTCTCTCACTACTAGACTTCTCAGACCCAGGATTTGGGAAGGGGCTTACCTGCTTTACAGCAGACGTGTTGGGTATCTTAGAACACATCCACAATGTGATTACGTATTTTTCATCATAGCAAAGAAAGTTAAGAAGCCATTTATAATTTGTTTTTTTCAGTGAGGTAAGCATTTATTTTCCTGCTTCACATGTAGTCTAGGAAGTTCAGGACAGTTGACTCTGGACCTACATTGCTCTCCCAATAAAACAACCCTGCTCTCCACTCTTGTCACTGCACGCTCTTTGGAGGTTTCACCTGGACCTGTCACATCAGCTCCTCTTAATGCTACTGGGCCTCAAATGGAGCTTCGCACCCTCACACACAACCCCCTCCTAGCTGCCTGCCCTGCACCATCCCCAGGCACCTCAAACCCAGCAGGTGGAAAGCTGGGCTCATCTGCACCTCCTGCCCCACCCCGCCCACTCCAGAACATCCTGTCTCAGCAAGAGGCACCACAGTCATTCAGTCTCCCAAGTGCAAAGCCTGGGAGTCACTGTCAACTTCTGTCTCCCTCACTCCTCTATGTAATTAGGCACAGGTCCTGTTACTCTTTTGCATTTCTCTCACCTGAGCCAGCTGCTACGACCTCAGTGAAAGACAACTTCGTGAACCAGGAGGCGTGTAGGAAGACCATGCACCAAGCTTGTGGATGTGGTCACCGGTTCTTGAAAGTCTCGCTCCTCGTGCCTCCATCTCCTAGCCAGCATGGAGAAGTTTTGCTGCCTGGAGACAAGCTCTCAAGCAGCTATAGGTGTTAATGAGATAAGATCTAGCTCATTAGCAAGCAGGTGTTATACTCTGAACATTCCCGGTGCAGCAGGGTAGGAGTCAAGCCCATGGGGAAAGAGCATGACCATTAAGCACACCTGCATCTGTTGTATAATGCTTCAATAAAATGCCATGGCAGAGGTTGCTCGGGGCTGTCCCTGGAGATATTGGAAGCTCACCTCTTTCAGGCATGTACCTTCAATCCCTGTTCCCCAGCTGTTTTTATTCCCGCAGTGACGGGGTGCCACAGCAGGCTCCGACATAATGGCAATGAGGATGGGATAGTGGACGAGCTCTGACAGAGGCATATCCCTCTCTGCTCACATAATTTCCTGCCTACGTAGCACCTCACTGTGCCTCTCCCTCCACCCTCACTGGGGAAGCCTCAGTAGCTATTTGGATTGGCTAATGGGCCCCCAACTATCCTCCTCCTCTCCAAGCTGGGCCCCAAGCCCTCCCCTGCACCACTGCAAGCTTGAGCTATGTTGAAGGCCAACTGGGTCATGCCAGCCCTCCATACAATCTTCAGTGGCTCCACAGTTTCAGAGCTAAAGATTAAATCACACAGAAGATGAGGCCCCTGCCCCATCCCCACTCCCTGTAGTCCTATGCCTTTAAAAAGGAATTTGGAGGCTACTCTGGACCA